ACTCGCCTGTTGCCTGCCTCTGGGTTTGTGTTTCCCCGTATGCTGACTTCTGCAGTATTCCTTCAGTCTCTCATCTCCGGGCTTTGATGCATATGTTCTGAAGGTGGCCACCGTGACTTTGGGTGGCAGCAGATGGTAAACCTTCAGGCTGCCACCGGCTATACTGGTGTTAAGTTGGAAACTTAACGTTTGATGAAGAATCAGTAGTGCATATGAAAGAGCTTTTACTGCAGAACTATCTTTTAATTAAAAAAAAATTAGCATACTGAAACATTTGCTAATTTCTGTGCATTTAAAGGGTCCTAAAATTAACTGTTTTCTTAAAGCTGAAGTATGGTTATTTACCAGTCAGGTTTTATTTTATTTTTCTCCAATTAATTGTACCTACTATACTGAATTAAATTTAATTTATTTTCCACTAAGCTGTTGAATACACTATAAATCAAAGCTAAGAAGCTATTTTTTTTAAGTAGCTGTTGTCAGCATCAGAATTAACCCTTGACTTAGAAGAAAAGAAAAAAAAAAGCAGGAAATCTTATTTTCCACCCCACAGGGTTATTGCTCTTCCCCAGTTTGCTGAGACATTGCCATTGCAGTTTCGCTGTGTTCCCCTGTGGTTTGGGATGTGTCTGAGAGCTCAGGTGCTATATAAAACACCCATGGGATTTCTGTGCTGCTGAAGACACTTTCATACATTATATTTGTGGCAACTGCTGTTTGCCTGTCAGTGTTTTTGGCCGCTTTGAAACACACAAAAAGTGGGGAACAAGGAGTAGGCAACAGTGTTAGAAATGCCAGTGTGGTACATAGACCTCAGCTCTGCTTGTTCACTAGTATTACAAATAGGATTTTGCCTTGTCTCCTTTTGTGTCACAGTCTAGTTGCTCTTGCTGTGCATTTTTCTCCCTGCTGTGCATTTTTCTCCCTTCTCTCTGGGACAGGATGCTGAATGTTAGAGTTGACAGCTCAACGTTATGAGGTATTAGATACTACAAGTTACACCGTAGTCATCATCACAGAAACAGATTCAACCAACCTGTGCAAGCCAGGAAGAGGCAGCTCTGTGTGACCTGCTCTCATAGAGGATAGAGTTAAGCAGCAGGGAACTCTATGTGGAATTTTGTTTTGTTTGATTGTGTCATCCTGGCCACTTTGCATTTTAAAAGGAAACCTTACCAAAAAAACAATTAATGAAGAACATGCCTGCTCTCCCTTTTGTAAGGAGAAAGAAATGTAAAGGAATGCAAACAGAAATGACTTCTTGGGACAGGGCTACTGTAAAGGATTTGACTGTGAGATAGGAGGTGAGGAGCAGGTATTTGGGCCAGTGGCAGAGCTGTGTGTGCACTTCTGCAGCAGCCTGGTATTGTAATCAAGAGCTTCTCACCTGCCTCTGCTGTATATGTGTGGAAATAAGTCAAGCAAATACGCTTGTGGCAATCTCTTTCCTTGTCTTATCCCTTTTATTGGTGATTTTTTAATCTGTATATTTAATTGGGTGGCTCTGGTTAAGGCACCTCTTCTGGAATTTGTATGCACTGTTGAAATGACTTCTGAGTTTAGCGGGCCCATGCAATGTATCTAGGCCAAATGCAGCACCATGAGGTACCATTAGGAAGTTTGTTTTATGGTTCTCCTTGGGCTGCTTGGACTCTTTGTGAAATAAACAGCCTTGCAGAATGGTAGGGATTGAGTCAGCAAAGAATTTCCCTCTAAATGAAACAGATCCGTAGATTATCTTCAGAGCTGCATGCTGTTTTCACTGTTGGAAAAGCGGGATAAAATATTGGAAAAAAAAAAGGACAGGTATGATATGTGTTGGGAAGGATGAAGAGAGAAGCTGGTTAGGAAGACTGGTTGGTTCCTACCAGCAGTTAACCTCAAAGGCACAGGACTATTGTCTGTTGTTCATACTGTTACAAAGCTGTAGCTGCACCTTTCGTTTTGATCTGGTAGTGTAGCAGATGAAGCTAGCCCTGAAGGGACCAGTTGTCTGCTTTATTCCCGTTAGTGGTAGTCATTCTATATGTTTTCCTATAGGGTGAAGACTCAGTAATCTGTTCTGGTACACCATATGCTGGTACAGCGCTGATAAGCAAGTGTGAAAAATGAAAGGGAGGAATACATTAATTGTATTTGTGCAATAAGGTATGCTATCAAAGGTAATTATTTCATGACAGTTTTAGTTTTAACAGTTGTTTTATCATGAAATAAAAGATGGCTTTAGGAGCCTTTTATTGGGAAGACAATTGTATCAAATTAGTACCAAATTAGATTTTTGTCTTTATAAAGGTGAGCAAACCCATGAGCAGTTTTTAAATTGGTGTCTTCTACTCTACAAATGAACAAATCCTGTTTGAGGGTTAAAGAAGCTATTATTCTGTCCTTTGTGCTGACAGCTTCATTACTGATTGGCCTACTGTTGGTATTAAAAAAATGTTTGGCTCCTTATGATCTTTGTGCATGCAACTATAATATTAATACAGACCACGGAACTGTTCATTAAGAAGTGACTTTAAATGAGGTTGATGCATGTAAATCTGGAGAGATACAGATGTTAAATGCAGCCGTTCCTTTTTGTATACAGCCGTATGGCTAATAATTTCCAAGTGGCTAAAGCTCTTGTTAGCAAGAGTGCTGGGGTGTTAAGAATGGCCCTATAAATAACTTGAAGAACTGAAGTTGAAGGTGCTTCTTTTAAAGACTACTGTTAACTAAACATTATTGCCAAACAGATGGAAAGCATTCACCAGCCTGATGTTTTTACGTCTAATTATATTATCGCCAGTCCTGTACGGCTCAGTTGAAGAGGTGTATCCAGAGGCCAATTTATAATCATTTAGCCAACACCTGTTTGGGAGATATTGACAGTCAAAGGGCACATTTAAAAAAAAATCACATATGTTCTTGTATTTATTGCCTCAATGTGAACAGTGTCTAGTTACAAACAAACTTTGGAGAAGAAAGAAGGAGACTGTAAACAAATAATCATTTCCTAACCATTTTTATCTGTCTAGTTTTAGGACCTCCTGTAAAGTGACCTTTTTTTTTTTCCCTTGTCCACTTGGTTCTTTTTATTGTATATATTTTTTAACTTCACACCTTCTGATAGCAAAACCAATTTTATTGTTGTAATATATTCAGCCCGTTTCCATTGTTTCTGGAAGGCTCATGTAAGAAAGAGGCCTGAAAAGCTGTCTGGGAAACTTGTAGGCCTAGGGACATTTGTCCTTCCTTGTTGTGCCCTCTGAGGTGGAAACTGTTTGTGATTCCTTTGTTGATAAATCTCAGTAGCAGCAACTTCTGTTGATGTTTTTCCCCAGAAGATATACAATAGCTTTTAAAATTGTTTGCAGCTCTAATAAAAAGCAAACATGTTAAAATCTTTATACTTGAATGATCATGTTCAATATTGGTGTTCAGGGGGCACGGGATGTATTATGGAGATTGAGCTACTGCTGCTCATACCCTCCTTAGGTTCCCTGAATGTCACAGATCCTTGTAGACTTTCCTGAAAAGACTTTGATATTGTCACTGTTTGCAAAAGGTCTTTAAAATTGGTCCTTGGGATGGAGCACTGTTGTCACTTTTGCTGTTTGTTTTTTAATTTGTGGAACTCTCTTTGCGCTTAGGAAAGAGAAAAATGATTCAAAAACGATACAATTCCCTTTGTCTCCATCACACCTTGCTGCGGGCGCTGCACCTGATGGCCCTCCCCGATTGCCATCGTGGAGAGCAGCCCAAGGTGCCAGCCCGGTCTTAGTCCTCTGGACTGAGTCGCTGCATTTTACTCATGCAGCTCAAAATTGGGTGCCAACCCCCAGAGCTGGCATTGGCAGCTCTGTAGGCCTTGCTTTTGCAGCGCAAGTATTTTGGTGTAAATATGTGCAACTGTTTATGCTGGGGGTGTGCAGTGCCTGTTGCAGTCAAACCGGGGTGCGCAGCCCTGCCCTTGTTGCTGGATGGAGCCGGCGCGGTGCGTGCGCTGTTTGCTCCTGCTCCTGCAGCCGTGCTTGAAGCAATTCGGACCCTGTGCGAGGGCAGAGAGCAGGAGAGCTCCAGCCCCCGCAAGATGTAGGTCCTCAGGTGGTCTGTATGCATGGGTACGTATATATAGTTTGTTTTGTTTTCACCACCTAAAGCAACGGAGCTTGCGAAGAGGCAAAGCAGTGTTTAGTACCCCTGACATCAATGGGCTGTGGTTAAAGTAAGTGCTTTCAGTAGAGGTAATGCACTGTGTAACAGAGATGTTCTGCAGGTATTCTCCTTTCTGCAGCATTTTTTTTCTTTACCTTAAGTGGTTTACAGCTGGGCTTCCTTGCAGCCATTTCTGTTGTGGCTTATGGATGCTGCAAAACAAAAGAGCAGCTGATGAAGAGAGGCAGCAATGACTGTACAGCTGGTAAAACATATTTTCATGGCCTCTGTGTGTGTGGTTTCAGGTTAGCTTCCTGCAAACGGGCTATTGTAGCCACCTCAAAAAACCAAAAACCCTCCTGTAACCCACTGGTAGGCAACTGGTTTTAAGTATAGGAAGCCTGATGGGAAAAAATGTTACTGGGGAGGTAAGTACAGTGAGCTGAAAAACAAATAGAATTACAGTGAAGTAATGCAGGAGGATGATACTATGTGAAGAAGGTTACTTTTCATGCTTCTTTATGCTGTTACCATTACATTTTTATAATTTGGGTTCTGCTGAATTATAGCTGCAATTATAAAGTGCTATTTTATAAATTAAATTAGGATTCATTTTTATAGTTAACTGTTGGGGAATTAGATGACATTCTAGTGCTAAAGAAGTGTATCTATAGGGATGTCTATCCTCAACCATATTCCTTTCCTAAAAAAAAATAATTAACAAATGCATTGCTAATATGCTGCAGGGCTTTATTATTTTAATCATGTCTTATATCACTTTCTTTGTAAGAATATTCAACATTAGGTCACGTTTGGTTAACTTATGTGAATCTTAGATATTTTTCTGCATGTGTTTTGCTTAGGTTTTGCTTGTAATGGACACTAGGACACAGGAGACTTTTATACTGAAGGTGAGTAAAAGGTTTTATTGCATCTTGAAACAGTTTAGCATGATAATGTGCACCATGCAGAGAATGCCTTGCACATAATATATAGAGTTATCTCTTTGTCGTGTGCTGCTATGTTAATACTTACACCCCTGGAATTACCTACCGGAATTTATCTTCTCTTTTTCTAAGTATTCAGTTGTTTTCCGTTCTTGTCTCTGTGTAACCTCCCTATTGTGCTTCCATGCAGGTTTAATCACTTGAGCTGACATAAGTTATTGAGGCCAATGCCTTAGCAGGCTTTGGTAAAGAATTGCAGTTACAATGTGTTTCTGAAAAGACCCGCTATCTTAGGGAGTGCGCCAGTTTTTAAATAAGAAAGTTGAGTTGAAAAATTCCTTAGACTGAGTGATTCCACAGCTCTTCACTGTTCACTTTGGGCTTCCCTCAGCTGAAGGGTATGATACTGGCCAGAGTGGACTCCGGATAAAATGGAACACTGGTCTTATCCAAAATGTCTTTATTGGATTTTTTTATGTCAAATCTGTCAGCTGTCATATCTGAGTTAATGTTAGTAACTTTTGAATCAACAATAGTTAATTGTCAGGGCTGTTTTTTTTTTTCAGGTTAACCTTTTTTGTTCCAAAAAGTGCTCAGACCAAGATCCCAACATTCTCAGTGTCGGGAATTAGTTGAGTCCAAGTCTTGTGGCCATTAGTTCTGGCTTATGAGACATACACTGCTGATGGTAAGAGGGCCTGAAAAACTATGTTCCAAACAAGGATCTAGCTGGTTGTTAGCATTTTGTACCTTTGCTTTAAGTCTGGCTGAAAATTCTGCTTTAACTTTGCACTTCTGGCCTTTGAAACCGTTTGTCTTACATATATGCAAAGTGCAGAAAACTGCTTGTTCCTCAGAAGGGAATAATTGTGAATGTTGTATATTGGAACCTCACTTTATCTGCTGGCAGACAGGGTAACATTGAATTTCCCATTTAACTGCTTATGTTTATCAATATTGTAATAGGTCACACTATTGACATACTTTTTTTTTTCTCTTTCTCTCTCCCCTTCTTTTCTCCCTCCCGCATCAATTTTTTCACTCCTGGCAACTTCATCTCTGTGCTACCTCCCAAAAATCATTACCTCTCAAGGAGACTAATCTGTTCCCTTGCTTTTTGTTGTGGTTGTTGTCTTTACTGTCGTACACTGAACATCTAAGGATTACCTGTAAAGCTAAGGTGTTCTTTTGTCTTCGGAACTTGGATTGAATTTTAACAGTGTCTTTTGGTCACGCAAAAAAATAAAACTTAAAAAAAAGGTCACAGGGAAATAACTGAGTGTCATCCTGATGACTTAGTTTGAGAGAGATTCTAATAAAAACATTGACCCATGTAATTGATTTTAATGGCAGCTTTGTGCCATCTTCTGTTCTCTGGAAATGCGCCAGATGCCATCAGCGCAGCCTCGGGGGACCGAGGGGCATAGAGCAGCAGATGAGTGGTTTCTCTGAAGCCCAGAGTAACTCGGATAGATTAGTTTGGTTGATAAACACAGAGCACAGCAGGCTCCAAAGGCAACTGAGGGTACAACTGACCTTTTTGTTCTCTGTCAGGGTCTAAGGAAAAGTAGTGAGTACAGCAGGAGCAGAACGACCATCATCCCCCGCTGCGTGCCCAACATGGTGTGTCTGCACAAGTACATCATCTCCGAGGAGTCTGTCTTTCTTGTGTTACAGCACGCAGAAGGTTTGTTTCTGGTTTAAGTGTATTGCTAGAAAGAGTCAAAGCTTTAGGTTTTATTCGCTGGTATTTTTCAGTGTCCAACTAATCTCTTATACTTCTAATTAAAATATTTCTAAGAGTAAAGATGTCATGTAAGACAGCCCGCACCCTCCCTCCCATTTCTCCCTCACTTGTAGTGGATCTGATTCCTATTTCAAACAGCCTCAAATCCTGATGGGTTACTTGAATTGTAGCAGTATTGAAAGCTTCCAACTGTTTATTTTCTATAAAATAGGAGAGTGAGTGGTTTGACTGCAAAAAAAAGCCTGGAGTATTTACAGTCATCTCCAGGAGATAGTCTTTGGCTACTTTTGCATACTTTGGCAAGTAAACCTTTTTAGAATCTTATAGTTAAAATGACAAGTATCCCCACAAGAGTTTAATAACTCTCTGTTAAAAAGCAGGAACATTTGCCTATTACCTAATATTACATAGTTATTCTGATCTGAATTTTAAAAAAAAGTAGCTAGTGGCATCATATAGGAGTTCAAAGCAGAACCACAGAGTTGTGCCTTCAAACTATTTACAAAATTCCCGTTAAATGTACAGAGAACAGGTGGCAAAAAATAATTACATTTTGATTTTTTTCATCTAACACCTGGATTTAAATATTCCCTAAATATAATTACCCCTTTTTGTTTAGAATGAGGACAGAATATAAATTTGGGGTTTGCTAATAGACCTCTTTTTACGAAGTGTTAATAATTCAGTCGGAATGGATGATAGGAAAGCACTGAACTAATTTATAGAGAGGATAATTTTATTAAATTGACTATTATTTCTTTTGTTTCCAATAAGTTAGGCTTTGGCTTTTGCAGAACAACTTCTGTCATTTGAATGACAGAATGTAGAACATGAATGGCTGTTTCTGCTATACGTGAGTTAATTTTACCATGAGCAGAGATGCATGAGGAAGGACCTCATATTATGGTACTTCTTGATGGTGATTTCAAGGGCTTACAGTGCTGCTCTGTGCAGTGGTACTTTTCCTAAGGTGTGCTTAATTCAGCCAAATACCTTAGTAACTATCACTTGAAGCACTACCTGCGCACTTTGTCTGGAGAAATAATATTAAAAAAAAAAGTCAGATACCAAATGACTTTATACTTGACTATTGAGAAAGATTAAAGACAAGTTAAAATAATAACCATAAAAATGTTCCTGGTATTCCTTAAGTTTCTAAAGAGCCTACAGTTTTGCTCTTCTGTTCAGGAAGAGTGTTCTTTCTCAGGAGGGGTGGAAAATGGCATGAAGAAGTAATGGAATTTGAAGGAGTAGTGGTCAGATATAGAAAGCCAAAGAATTAAGAGAAACTTAATGTTGTAGAAATCTTATTTAGCAGGCCTTCAGTAAACTTAAGGTCCTTTCAGTATGGAACTGAAACCAGTCGTTATAGCAGATGTTGCTAAAAGCAAAACATTCAGACCAGGAACATTTCACTGGATTTGTAACCATGTCAAAGATGAGTAGGAGAGAATCACTTATTCTTAAGGAAGACACCCCATCTGTCACAAGTGGTAAGCTGAGGTTTCTGCTCTTAAATGAATGAGCTCTGAGTATGCAAGGCCTCCATTTTTCTCATTGCTGGAACAGCTGGATTGTCCTTGGTGTAAGTTATAAACTGCATAAAGTTTCCCCTCACTTTCTGTGTGCAAGTGATGAGTGAGTCGCCTGATGATGTGTACAAGGAGTCCATTGCAGATGTTGGACCCGATCCCTTGTCCCAAACCAGGGCAATAATTTGGTCTTGCTTAAAGAACATCATGGCCTGTGAACCTCACCTAGTCACAGGCGACCAGGGCCGGAAAGATGCATCTTGTTCATCCCACTGATGCCCTTGATTAAATCAGTCTTTTGATAGCAAAACATATCCTTTAGATTATAAACATAAGTAAGAATCATGAATCCTACGGATAAAGCATTCTTAAAATAGATACATACCTCCAATTAAGTATAAACAGAGAAAGTGGTTTTACTTCATTTCAGGAAAAGATAAAAACTTCTAGGATAATGCGGTTTAGGTGCATGAAATTTTATCTTGTAACTTTAGGAAAGTTCTTGTATCAAAAGTCCACATAGTTCTGTTCCAATAGAAGATGATATGCTGCTAGTCAGATTTAGATATGTATATAGTTTTGTGATTATTTAATGTTAAGTATGCCAGTTGTACTGGCATATTGGGAAGTTCAAGGGTAAAATAGTAGTTTAAATAAACAATGTCTTGAATTATAGCAAGTTCAAATGAAGTTTCAGTGTTATATACAGACATTATGTATTTGCTAAGCAACTTGCTATTTTTATTTGCAGTAACTTTTAACTGTGTTTTTAAATTCAGAACTATTGGGATTCTGAAAGCTTGACCCTAAGCTCTTGCTCTGGATGTCGACATTTCAATGTTATTGTATGCCCAGAAATCATCAGTGACATCTTTAGTCCTCTCAGACTTTTTTTTTTGTGTGCGTCCACAGTTGGAGGCTTCTGGGGTGTCTTAGAAGCAAGGAAGTCCATAACGTCGTCTCGTAGCTTTGTCAGAAAGCACTTGGCAAGTCCTAGTGTGGTAGAGAGCCAGTGTGATGTTAATAAGGCCTCACTACTTCTTGGCTCTAATAACTCCAGAAATTTTAGAAACAGATGCTTCAGAAATAAGCTGGGGGGCTTCCATGGGACATCAGAGTTTAAGTGGCTGTTAGAAACTGTCAAACCTCTTTAAGCATAAGCAAGCTGGAGTTCCTATCAATCTGGAGGGCACTCGAGAAACTTCACCATGAAGAGGCTTGCAGCATGCTGGAACTGATAGAAAACAGTACAGAAGCGTTCTGGCTTGCAAAGCCAAGAATTTACAAACAGGAAAGGTGATAGAAGTAGCTGTACAGATTTGATGGAGGTCAGAAAGTGTAGGAAAGGTGATCTGGTCCTCGGCAAGAGCCTTTTCAGGAGGCTGCTTTGAAATAACGGCATTTGCTAGAAGCGCCTCAGGAAGTGGGAAGTTTGCCTAAACTAGCAAACTTTGTAGCAGAGATTCACCAGCAGCAGTGGAAGCAGTCGTGTGCGCAAGACTCTGGTGTTTGTAACTACTGTCATGTCAGAGATTAGGCCGGAGATTAGCTCCCAATTCCTGTGTACACTGCGGCCCCGCTGCTGCAGCCACTGGCACCCTGCGAAACATCATTACTGTATCATGGCAGGGCCTGCGCGTCTGGTTCCCTCTGCGCCTCGGAGCTGCACAAGTGTAATTGCGTGTTGTCACTGCTCGTTAGCACAGTGAAGGTTGCTAGCACTCGTGTCTGTGCTGGAAAGGAGGGCAGTGATTTCAAGAAAACTCCAAGGGTAGGGTTGTTTTGTTTTAGATACGGAAGAGAATTATTTCACACGAGTCACCTGACTTATCGTTGGCATGCTTGACCCTAAATAAATTCTTCAGAGAGAATTCAAAGAGTTTGGTGAGGTTTTGGAGAGTAATTCCAACAGATGCCTTTTAGTAATGCTATTTTTCCTTCCCTATCTGATCATAGTTATTTGGAAGCCTGGATTGTTGGGTCTGACTTTGTTTGGGCTATGCTAAATACAGTGATTACCGCATTCTTAACCGCATTCCAGTTCTGCAAGAATCAAATATATTGTTCTTCAGAACAAATTTACGGGCCAGGCTAGCAAAAGCTAAGGGATTTATTTTGGAATATGTCCACTTAACTAGTCTATCAGGATGTGAAGTTAAAATGGTAAGTGTCCGAGCACCGGATGAAAAAAAATCCAGCAGGTCATGAATTTTTCTTGTCTGCTAGAACAAAAACATGGTAGGAGACTAAATTTGCTGATCTGTTAGGTTTCCTTTTATCCTAATGATATGTCCTGCATAGTCTTTGTATCTTCTTCTCTTTGATGTTTCTACTTCAAAGTACTATTAATAACAGAAAACTGCAGAAATGTTTGAAAGAAGATATAAAAATTGTGGAATTAACAAGATGCCTAGCCAGCTTCGTCACTCGGTCACTTCGTGTTGAAATGTCTTCTTGGTTATTTGGATGCTAACTATTTAGATTCTGCCTCTGAAGCACAGATATATCCTCCAGACTGTTAGAAATATGGTGAAATAGAGGAGTTTTAGTTAGTAGTTTTACATTGAATAACTGCAAAAGAATGCAGAATTTTGTGATTTTTGGTGCCCTAATAAAGCCAGAAAGAGTAAGCTACACTGGTTTTAGAGCCAATTTATGTTAAAAGAAAGTTTCATCATAATTTATGTTAAAAGTGAACTTCTGAAATGATATTAAATACTAATAAGCTTTAGCTTAAAATGATAGCTTTTGTAGTTATGTAGTACGTTAGATAATTTGACAATGACTGAAGCTTACTTGTTTGGATTGATTTCTATAATTTTAGTTTTTATAGATTCCTGATACTATATTAGCATGGCTTGCTAATGGGTTTTCTTGATCTTACACAACACATGGAGAGAGGGGGAAAGATTATTAGTATGTCATTCATAAAGGCATAATTATATACCCAGATACAAATATCACTCTTGTTTGACCCTGAATTGGACATTTTCAAAAAGGAATAAAATTGTTGTTTTTCACTATAGAACACAATTATTGAGTAGTGTTTATTTATGTATTTCTACTTGACCAGGGGCCAGTCTTGAAATATTTATATGTAAACATATTTGGATATAATCAAAAAATATTTTTTTTATTTAGTTGCATTTAGCTCTAAATTGGAGTTGCAGTAAGTAGTCATTTTCACTGTGATCTCTTAGTCCAAGTGATTATTAATGAGCAACTTCTTTCTTAAAAAGGTAAGAAAATAACACGTTTACTAATGGAAAACCAGTCGTTGTTGCAGTTCTGTCTGTTTTTATGGATGGACAGTGTTGAATTCCTGAGTACTCTCAGAATAAAACCATCCTTTTTGTCTTTTGTCAATCCAGGAGGTTGAGTTTGCTGAAAGCACTTAGAATTAAAGTTTGTCCTAAAAGATATAGCCTTGACTTGACTCTTTCAGTGGGGATTCTGTGGAGTTTGAAGAGATGATATCAACATGTCTGCTTTCCTCCCTTAATCCTTCTTGCATCTCTTCCTTTCTTGAGCTGTGCTGCAACTTCTAGGGGAGGCTGAGGTGCTAAAGATGCTGCAGGCCACCTTGCATCATGCAAAGTGGGGCAAGCAGAAGGCTAAGGTTGTCCCAAAAGCAGCTTGGCCCATTTCTGTTTGAAAAGGGAGAAGAATTCTTGCACTTCGTACGCAGTCCACCCCCTCCTGTCTTAGTATAGGAGGACAAAAGATGAACATCAAGAGACAGTCCATCAGAGAGCCCCTGAGACTTGTGTTTTCATAAGAACAAATTTGTGAAGCAGTACTGGGGTAAGAAATACAAGTAATATGAAGATGAAAGTATTTTGCCTTTGCTTCTGCTAACTAATACAATGCAGGTGAGACAGGAAGATTTAGTGTATTTATACTGACTGAAGCAGGAGGGTGATTGTCAAAGGAAATTTTACTGTTTGGTGTGCACAGACCCTCCATAGTTCCATGCCTAGTTAATAAACTGGGAAAAGCTATTGTGCAAGCACTATTCACTTAACATAATTTTATGGAAAATTTAAATAAAATGAATAGTTGTAAAAATCTTGTTCTGTCAGAATCAGGGGAACTTTTGTATAGCTTCTTTTGTCATGGGGGAAAGTGTGAAGAAGTTGAGATCCTTCTCACACATAAATTAAAAATACATCTGCGCTCCTTCTTTTTCTCTCCACCTTCTTTTTGTAATTTTATTTCCCCACGACTCTGTAGGAAAAGTGTGGAGAAACATAAATTTAGAAAAAGAATTGATGACTCTGCAATGAACATTTTACTTTCATTTTGACTAAACCAATTTAAAAACCGATCTAAAAACAGCCCTGTACAAAGTGCATGGTCCCGAATGAACAGCAGTGCCCTGCTGTTTTTTTCCCCTGACGAGCAGCTGTGTAGCCTGACATTTTTTAAGGCAAGTGACTTCATCCTAAGCATCTGCGTGGAGCTGCAGCCCCTCACGGAGGCAGGACGCGGCTTGGCGCGGGTTCCGGCGGGCCCAGGGCTCTCGGTTCTGCGGGACAGGCCGGAGCCAGGGCCGGGCCTTGCGAGGAGTCGCCCGCGAGCCGTGCCCGGCTGCTGTGACAGGGCAATGGCGTTTGGGTGTTTCAAACGCATCTTCAGGTAGGTATATATAGTTCGTATGTGGTTGATATAGCACCTCTTGTTCTCTTCTGTGCTAGCATGGTTTCCATTTGCTCCTGTCTATCTACCTGGCGTCCTGTCACATCCTACTAGAAAGTCATTTTGAGCTGCTATGTCCATTTGTAGCTTACAGGCAGAAATCGTGTGGATTTATAGATCTACATGGCTATCTTTACCATTGAACTCAAACTGTTAGGTTTCCCTCTTAATATTTTTGATATACTTATTTTCACCACAGCCAGTGAGAGTTATTTTTCCCTTCAAAAACAAGTCTTGTCTTAGCCAGAGGGATAGAGAGGAAGATAACTCCACATTATATTATTCAAATTCGTTTTTTAAAGTATCAAGGTTTTTCTGCCTTTCATAAGTTATTTTTGAAATACCTTGAAATATGTAAAACTTGTTCCTAGGCAATAAAAATGCCTTCTTCTTTTGTTGTATTTTTTAAAGGAATTTTGCCTGATAGGAAGATTGTTTAAAAACAACTATGAAGGACTATATTTTGGAAAAACATAATATAAAACGATATTACCCAAATAAGTAAAGAGCGTTGCGGATGCTTAATGGGATGGATACTTCTATGAAGTAGGTCTTCTATTAAGATTTTATTGGAGCTACTGTACTTTCTAGAATTTCTGTAATATCTTTTATACTAAAATGTCTTGACTTTGCATTTTTTCCTAAAGTTATTGAAGGTAGCTTTTTAGATGACCGTGGGTAAATTCTTTGGCTAACAAAATACAAGAGAATCCAGTAATTTCTTGATGTGTCGTGTGACTTGCATTGTGTGACTTGCATCTTTTATAAAAAGCGTCCTGTAAATGTGCAGTATTTGAAAGCATAGAGAGTCACGTTTTGTATTTTTGTAACTTCACAATTACTTTTGGAGTACGTAAAGTCTCTGATGCGAAGAAAACAGCTTGCTGATGTAAATTAGAGTGCTGATAAATCATTGTGTAATGCAGCAAGCCATAGAGAACTATTTTAAGGGAGAAACGTGTTCATAGTTAGAAGACCAAAGTAGTTCTTTAAAGAGAGGGAAAAAAACTTTAAAATATCCTACTAATGTGAAGTCGTTCTTTCCCATACAGAACTTGCAAACTAATCCTCTGTGGTCTCTCTTCCCTAATGTTTTTGGAGGTGTGATTCAGAAGCATTCAGTACAGGTAGAACTGGTGTTGGGCACTAAACCATTTGATCTTCTCTGGTTCTTGCTTTCTTTTAAGACTGTAGATGGAGAGTAGTCACCACCATGTGACTTGAGACAGACTCTGAAATGAGACTTTATTGAAGTTTTTTTTTTTTTAAAAAAAGCTTAATCTCAGATGCAGCTATTAAATATTTATGTGTTAATACAAATCTGTGTGAAAAGCAAGCTGGAGTCTCTGTAATTATTTCCAACTGAGACAGCAGATCCAACTTGCTTTATGGGCACAAGTAGATGGTGTGCTCTGTCAGTGACTGTATTTTCCTATATTGTAATTAATTATTTTTATTTCGAGTCCATTTAATAACATTTTCCTCCTTTCTGTTGCAGGAGGAAAACTATGGTCTTATGTCAGTAAATTCTTAAACAGAAGTCCTGAAGGGAGCTTTGAAATTCCTGAACTCAAAACATCCAGTTCAACTAAAATTCACCTGGAGCAGCCGACCCCTAGTCCTAAAGAGATCAGCAGCAGCACTGATTCCAGAGAAAGCTGTGGAGAGAGACTGCTGAAGGTGGTGCCCCTGAAGAGCAGCCTAACGCCGAGCTCTCAGGACGACAGCAGCAACCAGGATGACGGCCAAGAGAGTTCCAAGTGGATGGACTCGGCGTCCAGCTCGGAGGAAGAGTGCACTACTAGTTATTTAACATTATGCAACGAGTACGGGCAAGAAAAGATTGATTCTGGCTCTCTGAATGAGGAACCTGTTGTCAAATTGGAGAATGAAGGTCTAAATAGCAAGGAGAGACGTCTGCAGACCTGCACGGTTGTTGGCAGTGATAGCTTCAGCACTCAGATTGCATCTCAGGAACTAAAGCTTTTCATTGATGATGCTGAGTCGGAAATAGCCAGCCCTACCAGGATATTGGACTCATTAAATAAATCAAAGAACAGCCCCATGGAACTCTTTAGAATAGACAGTAAAGATAGCACCAGTGAGCTTCTGGGGCTTGATTTTGGAGAAAAACTATATAACCTTAAATCAGAACCTTTGAAGCCATTATTTTCTGCCCCAGATCATGACAGAAGCTTTGATGCCCTGGAAAACAAACTGGGTGTGAGAGCTCATGACACCATAAGCAGAGGTTCAAATGACTCTGTGCCAGTGATCTCCTTTAAGGATGCTGCTTTTGATGATGTAAATAGTGTTGATGAAGGACGACCTGATCTCCTAATAAACTTACCTGGTGTGGCTGATGAAACAGAGGAGGCAGCAGTGTCGAGGCCCACAAAGTTTACAAAAACGGATATGAACGTGTTGGAGGTAAAATTATTAGAAACGCCTGATGTCTTACAGTTAAATAATTCTGCAGAACCATGCAAAGCTTTTGATCAAGAGCCAAATCATGTGGCACCAGAACTGGGCAATTCTTCCCATGAAGAAGCAAGTGGACAAAGCGGTGTCATTCAGGGAGCTCTTGGGAGCCTGTTTACAGCTGAACCAGAGGTAGGTAGTTCAGAAGAAGGGGCTCTGTTTCAAGGGCTGGGAGCCTGCTCCTTAAACATGACAAGCAAAGAAGAAAGTGTGTTTGTTTCCAACTCGCTGTCAGGTGCTAAAGACGTTAGTTTAGATAGAGATGTGATAAAAGATGAAGCTGTGTTGCTGTTTTCTGATCAAACTGAAGACTTTGGGAAAGAGGAAACGGACCCGTCTTTGTTACCAGCAGCAGAAGTTGAAAAGACAGTACCAAAGAGCGAAGAAGAAATAGGAGTAGCAGTGCAGAAGGAAATGCATCACATTTTTCAGGACCTCGACGAAAGATTAGCAATAACCTCCAGGTTTTATATCCCAGAGGATTGCATTCAAAGATGGGCAGCTGAAATGGTTGTAGCCCTTGATGCTTTACATAGAGAAGGAATTGTGTGCCGCGATTTGAACCCAAACAACATCTTATTGAATGATAGAGGTCAGGAACTTTTGCAAATGCATTTCTTTTTATTCGCTGTTGCTTCCAATTAACTGAGTAGGCGTTTTATCTTGTAATTAGTATCTTCATTTCCTGTCTAGAGCTTCATTATCAGTGCAGCAAATTCACCCCCAGTAATAGCTTCTAGTACTTAATGATGCCATTATTCTTAATGATACTGTTTTTAGCTACAAAAGGAGTAATTACAGTTCACTTCTGCAGAAAATGGAAGGGAAAAATGTTTTGATTTCTCCTGTCGTTTTGTTTTTAGGACACATTCAGCTAACGTATTTTAGCAGGTGGAGGGAGGTTGAAGATTCCTGTGACAACGATGCCATAGAGAGAATGTACTGTGCCCCAGGTTAGAGCAATCACCTACAATGTTTCACTTGAAAAGTAGATAAGCAGCTTTTGTTTTCTCACGGAGCCTCTATAATGTTTAAGCTTAAGTTTATATAATGTATGAGAGGCTTTACTTTTTTTTCTTTTTTTTTTTTCCTATATGTCTTAAAAATGAAGAGGGTTGATAACTGCTTTGTTTCTGAGCTGCTGTGTTATTTGTTGGAGTACTCATATAAAGTGTAATTGAATTGAATGTCTTGTTTAAGCAACTTTAAGGAACATTTTGTTTTCTCTCAGATATTTGCTGTGAGTACATCCTGTTAACTGAAAAGAACAAATAAGGGAAAGGGCAGATTGAAAAGATGACAAAGAGGTTTAAAAATATGAAAATATGAACATGCAAAAAACATGAAGAGAAAACATAGAAGTTGAAAATATACAGTCCTAATAGGCTCAGAGATGCCTGTGAGGTCTTTGAGGAGCTACAATGGCCTTTGAAAGAGTTGAGAGCTCTTTTCTTAGAAATACTTTTATCAATCAGGAGAGTGATAAAATCAATATCTTGGGTTTTTTAGCAAGGGTGGCACTTGAAACCAAGCCCTCCCTCTCTTTCTTCTCCCAATTTACTTTCTCCTAAGCTGATGGTCAAATGGTAGTAACAGGTAAAATTCAGATAGCAAAACCATTTTACTTATAACTTGATACTTTAAAAATTTCATGGCTAGCTTAAAAAAAACACCACTTTTGGAGTCAAAATGACTACTGGAAGGCTATTCAGATGTTTCAATTTGTCTCTTTTATACTGAAATTTCAAATGCCTACATACTTTTTCTGCTGCTTGCATGGACTTTGTAACTTGTTGTGAAGATACTTTGCAAGCTCAAGCCTCTAATCATGTTTGCTAAGGATTAGCTGAAGAATTATGTTAGAAGCAATAGAAGAGAAAAGTTCTGAACCAAATTTGGCACTGCATATTTGTTCTGTGACTTAGTCCCATCACAACTAAAATACAGTAGAGAACTGCTTACTGTGAATAAAGATTGTAGGAAGTCAAGAAAACATTGAATTTGCACCTTTGAGGATTAATAGTCAAATAAAGTCTTTGCTGTGCAGGTGCAAGACAAATGGGAAATGGCAGTTATTACAGAGAAACAGAAAACCTTTTTTTTTTTTTTTTTTAACCAAAAACCGAAGCATCAGAAGTTCCACAGGACCTTAAGGAAAAAAATTCTTAACAGTGAGGGCGACAGAGCACTGGAACAGGCTGCCCAGAGAGGTTGTGGAGTCTCCTTCTCTGGAGATCTTCAAAACCCGCTTGGACGCAGTCCTGTGCCACGTGCTCTAGGTGACCCTGTGTGTGCAGGGAGGTTGGACTAGATGACCTCTAGGGGTCCCTTCCGCCTTAAGCATTCTATGATTCTGTGATTCTATGAAAGTGAAAAAAAAAGCCCCACACCTTCTTTCCATCTTCCCCCAACTTGAATTCAAGGCCAGGAAACCAGGGGAATCCCTGCATTTCAGAATCTCAGCAATTCTCGTGACCTGCAGAAGGGAGATGGGCTTGTTGCCAAGGGACAGTTCATCATGTTAGAAAATGGTGTTTTGTTGCCTCCCCAACCCAGCCTTGTCCAGAGCTCTCCCCAGCAAGGATGGGAGTAGAGCCTTTGCCCACCTTGTCACTGTTTCAGCTATGAAAGTCAAAGATTATTTTTTCAGTATTTTACTAAACCTCCAAAAAGAGGCCTTTGTCATCCCTTAAGCACCAGCCAGCCAACTCCTGCAGTAATAAAGTGTTTAGGGAGCAACTGAAGTAATATTGAAAAATCCTCAAATGCAAGAGTGAAGTTTTCTGCACCCTCCTGGCACAGGTGGTGCAGGTGTGGTAGTTCTGTCTTGGTGAAGCTTTCCTCACCTCTCCTCTCCTCCTTCTCTGTCCTATCTCAAATGTCAGTTTGCTTTGTGTATCTGGACCTTCTCATTCGTGGAACCTTATTAGACTTCACTGAAATTACTCCTGGATGTAAATATGTGCCTGTGATGAGTGAGCTGCAGGATGAAGATTTGCATGTGCAAATATTAGATATATGCAAGACAGCCGAGTCAATCTGCTTTATGAGTCTTACCTTTCATGTTTCCTCATCCTGATGCTCTCTGTGCAAAGCGTATTCTTATTTTAGTGTAACTCTTTGATGACAATTTTTGCGTAGGAGAGTAATACTTGCAATAACTTTGCAATACAAAACCTATTTTTGAGCCAAGTGGCATTCTTTTCTTGAGTAATGGTTTAATATCTGTACCGTAAATATTTCGTGTAGCAGAGGCCAGTGTAGCTTCCTTAAAGCTCCTGCTGCTGCTAAATCTTGCTCTAAAGGATTCGATCATTATTAGAAAATTCATTTTAATTGGCCTTCTTCATAGCTGCTTTAGTGTTATAGGAAAATAGGCCTCACTTGGATGATAATTTTGCCTTTTAAGGAGTGCAGCAGAACCCCTGTCCCCCATTTAGGGAGATAGCATTGCTCCTCAAGCTGTTTCTGGGGACAACTATTTTGATAATGTACTCGTGCTTCCCTTAGTTCACTAAGAGAAGATGGCAGCTTTGAGTTTTTATTCATCTTATAATCAGTTTAAAAAAGTAACTTAAATCTTTCCAATAGCTGTTTCCCTGCTGGAAGAAAGGCTGTGGTTTTGGGGAGAGGAGCAGAGATCTTCCCAAAACTCCACTGTTTGAGGATTTATTTTATAATAGTAGAGTGACTAAGTAAAACGACTCAAAGTGAGTCTCTATCTTTAATGTTTTCCTGGTGTGTCTAGTAGTGTGTGCCTGGTTGTCCTTCCTCTAGGTACTCAGCCCTCCTTCTGCTTTTCCCTCACTACCTGAAGGATGCACTGAAAAATTTGTAAAATTTGTAAAAATTTGTGAAATTTTGTCTCCATGTGTCTGTCTTGATGCCTACTCAGGATTGTGAATTTTTAGCTGCGTTCAGGGTAGCATGGAACTTGGGTATGGCAAACTTTTGTGTCACACGCTTCCAACTTTTGTTTTTTTAAATGTCCCAGTTAGGGATATATGAGAAGGAGAAGATGTCTTTATCAAAGGTCTGGTATTACAGACTTGGAGCAGATGCTGAATCTTTTTTGGATGCACTTACACTTTGCATTGATTTAGGGATGGCAGATTACATAGTCAGAACCAGGAGAGCGGGATCTGAAATTTTCATACATTGTAGGAAATACTTGATTTAAAATATTTAGTTATTTAGTTATTTGGCGGATATAAACACTAGGAAATACTTGATTTAAAATATTTAGGAAATTATATTGAATAGTTATTTGGCGAATATAAACATGCACTTGATATAATTTTACCTTTTTAATGGATACAGTTTCAGACTTTATTTTTTTTTAGAGCACACATTGTAAAGTGCATAGCAGGAAAGTGCCTGAAGGCATGTTTATGTGGCTTTATTGGTTAAAGGAAAACCTGGAACCCGAATTCTACGGAACAAGTGAGCTATCAGAATCTAATTCTTTGAGGGGCTAAGGATAACAATATGAAAGCTGACGGTGTTTGCAGAAGTCCATCTGTGTGGAGCTTGCTTTCAGAGTGTAGGATGCTGTGGTCAAGGTTTTCAGTACCCAAGGTTATAACTCTTCACTAAAGCAAAGCAAACTAATGTTGGTACGGAAATACTGATCAGATCCTTCCCCTTGTGAACAGGGAGGAATTTCTCAGCTCTTCTTATCCCTACAAGTGGGATAGAGAGGAAATGTATAATTCTTTGCATATATGTAGCCACAGTGTATACCTAAAATAATACAAATACTATAAATGGAGGAGTGTCAAAAAGATGTGGGGAAAATGGTTTCAACAGCTGCATGCTACTCTGGAGACAATATAATTAATTTTGTGTGAAATAGCAGTCGTGTAACTTGCAGAAAGCAAAGGCAGGGATAAATCTTTTGCAGGAGGTTACGTTTCTCCACTCTTGACGGCAGGTGGCATTGTACCATTAATGGATTTTGCTCCTGCACTTCCTGGCTCTAATTTGCCTACCTTCACATAAGAGCTAAAGACGGGATTTATTTGTAATGATTTGCATATCAAGAACTGTACTTGGAAGCTCAGAGTAATGGTGCGTTATAGTACTGTCAAATCTGCCAGTAAAATTGGACAACTCTTTCTAGTGCGTGCGCAGTTCTGCCCGGTAGGAAAGTTCACGTGGAACCAGCTACTGTAACAACAAAGCTGTCTGCAGACGCTTAAAAGTAGCGGCTGGGCCACGCTTTGATTAATGGCCAAGCCAAATCTTTGCTGTTCACCTATGATAAGTCAAATGGTGTTTCTCTAACCCACAAGGGAAGTGATGGATTATAAATCATCCCCTATAAACTCAACACCACTTCAAGTAAAACCGTGGGAGTTTTGGCCAAGAATAACCTGTTTACTTTTAAAGAAGAAATTAAAAACTTATTCCTGAGGATTTCTGATCTGTTAATATGGTTAAGGTGACTAATGTGAGGTTTAGAGTTTTGTTACTTTCCTCCTCTTAATAATAATTTTGTGTTTGAGTATTTTAAAGTGTGCTAAGCAGCTGATGTTTGAATATAAAGTTATTACTAGATCAGATGAGAAAGATTCACTTCTGTTTAAACAGTCCTTTGCTATCCATGCCCCCTGAGAACTCTTATCACTTATTTGTCAAAAAAAAAAGACCAACAAAACTAACAAAAAAATCTCTCACGTTATCCACCTGCCTCGTGCTTGATAATATCGGCAATGTATCTCTTTATCTCTTGGTTAATGTGCCTTGGTATTCTGAAGGGGGGAAAATTCCAGTAACAGATTCAATTTACACAGACAGAAACTTGAGCAAATGCCAGCCTAGCAGGGGGGCCATTATTCTGCTTTATAAATAAGTTTAAAAAAGAAACAAACACACACACACAAACCTGTGAATCAACATGTTTTGGTCTAATTGAGGGAAAAGCAAGATAGATGAATTTTGAAATGCAAATGATCACCGTCTGTTACTTAAGTATAGGTTTTGCCAACTTTATGATCTTAAATATAAAGA